CTCAAGAATCTTTGAGAGGAACGGAAGATTAGAAATAGGTCTATAGTTGGCTAAAACCTCTGGATCGAGGTTGTGCTTTTTAAGAAGCGGTTTTATCACTGCTACTTTGAATGATTTGGAACCCTGATAATAAAGACATATTCATAATATTTAATAAAGAAGTGCTAATTAATGGAAAAACTTCTTTTAACAGCTTAGTTGGAATCGGGTCTAAGATACACGTTGATGGTTTAGAAGAGAGAATCATTGAATTTAATTGTTCAAGGTTTATGGCTGAAAAGCATTCTAGTTTACTATCTAGTGTAATATTAGAACTTACGTTTCCGGGAGCTGTTGATAACACTATACTGGACAAAGGCAAGAGGTCATTGATTTTGTTTCTAAGAGTAACAATTTTATTGTTAAAAAAGCACAAAATCATTACTACTGAGTGCTATGGGAATAGAAGGCTCAGTCGAGCTGTGGCTCTCTGTCAGCCTGGCTACAGTGCTGAAAAGAAATCTTGCATTATTCTTATTCTCATCTATTAATGAAGAGTAGTAGGCTGCTCTCGCTTTACGCAGTGCTTTCTTATATTCATTGAGAGTAATATGTCACGGTTTGTGAAACAAGCAGGACCCAAATGCAGATATAAACTGAAACTTCCTTTATTTCAAGGCTATGATATACTTTAGTGGAACGCCATATCCTTTCAAGTTGTCTCGACTTTTGCTTTATTTTGCGGGTTTCGGCATTATGCCATGGAGCTCGTTCTTTGTTATCAAAGCTCAATAGCACAGAAAGAAAGAATATTATTATCAGCATACGAAACACCAAAAACGTTTTCTCTGTGGCAGCAATTCACATTTTTAGTTGACATTTTCGAAGCAGTGAGATTATTGGACAACAACATTGTTTGAAAGAGCCCCTGTTGTTGTTCATAGTATTACTTGGCATTTCTCTGCTGCTTCCCACTGGCTATGGTGTTCCTTGAATTCATGAATTTATTCTGGCCACACACACTCCAACAAAATGTATTGAGCTTTGATAACAAAGAACGAGACAAACAAGCAGGTCTTAAACCTGATGATTTATTCAATAGATCATTTCCATCAACTTTAAGCTCACTTTTCCATCAGCAATGAAGGGCCATTAGGTATTTTCAGACCCACAAATATATGTTGGATGACGATAGAGACTAAAAATAGCAAATCACCAGGACCAAAACACTCTTGAATGCATTGCAGTTGAAGAATTGAAGTACTTCCTCAGAGAGTCTTTAAGTGTGTTTGCATGAATGCGTGCACATTGTATATCTGCGTCCCATTCACCCTCAGTGTGATGGTTTCATGCAGCCAGCAGGGCTTGAGGCAGGGTCCCAGCTGCAGTCAGCCTGACACCTGCCCCCCGCCCCAGACACCTAAATCTCCGCCTGTCACCACAAAACACACACTCTTTTTCAGTTTGTGGACCCCTGCATAGTCCCCTCTGCCCACTGCGCCCGAAGCAACACCCACCATGTCATGGAGGTTTATAAATAGCTCTCTAACGGCAGAGTTCCCTTTGCTTTCACACAAGGACCACAATAGCTGCATGGCTGCACAGCGGAAGTATCCGTCTCCACTCACAAAGGGAGGGGAAGGAAAACATTGCTAAAAGAGGATCCATCCATTCAGGAGGTCTTCGCGTGGTGTAGCACATTTGTGAGCTCATACGCGGCGTCATTAATCGGCCTGAAGGGACTAGCAAACAAAAGACCCTTCTGAGGCTTTCTGTGATATTACCATCTCTGGATATTACAGCTGGAAATGCCTGACATTCTTGCTCCCCTGAGAAAAGAGCAGGCGCTGAAATCACCACAGATTTGTTTTTGAACGACTTATTCTAAAGCATTTTGTCTCGTTATCTTGTAAAAGCGTGATGACTATGCTGCTACTGTGCATGTCACTGAATATGTTATATATATATATCTATATATATATATATATATTCAGCTGGAGACACATGACAGCCTCAAGCTGCACTCTGACGCTGATGACCTCCACTGTGCATGCTTAGGGTTAGGACCTGATCTAATTACAACTTCTGCCTGGCTACACATCAGGCTTCGACATTGTCCTGCACCACCTTCCCTCTGGGAGCGAGGGCAGCTTTCTATTAAAAGACTTGAGAGGAAATGTCGTTTGATCATGAACCCACAGTGCAGTTTTTGGTAGTGTTTTATAGCATATAACACCTAATCTCCTTTTATCTCTTTCAGGGCGGCAAAGGAGCAGAAAACTTTGACAAGTTTTTCACACGCACACAGCCCATGCTGACCCCTCCCGACCAGCTGGTCATCGCCAACATCGACCAGAGCGAGTTCGCAGGCTTCTCCTTTATTAACCCTCAGTTCATCCATCCATCGCTGCACAGCGTGGTATGAGGAGAGAGCAGAAAGACAACACGAAAGCATGAACTGTCCCTGACTACAGGATCCTTCCAAACTCTACAAAAACAATCCCGCCATCAAAAGACTCTCATTATCCTCTACAGTGTTCTGTCTGCTGGTTATCAATATGTGTGAAGAAAAATAACATGGCACTGATATTTTCTTTCCCTTAACATCTCATATAATATGTTCTTAAATCAAATCTCGAACTGTGTTTATCCGAACCTGCAGCCTTTTATTCTTGTGTATGAATGTGTATATGAGTTACTCAAATGTTCCTTTCTTATGTTCCCCGTCTTAACTACGCAACAAGCTGCAATGCACGACAAGAACGGAACACATTTTTCTGCTCTGTCCCGGCTTTATCTACTTCTGAACCGCTACACGTGTATTTTATATTTATATACTTAAAAAAAAGAGGTATTAGCCTATACTGTTACATGAGTGCCAAAGGAAAGGTGGGAAGTAATGATTTCTATTGCAGTTCTTAAAGTCATCACGATGTTTTTCCCCTCCCGACGCACTAAAACCCCTAAACAGGGCATGTTTCTTTTTGTTGTTTTGTACGACGTGGAGCTATAGCTATAACTCAACATAGATAACCAGGAACACATTCTGCTTATGCTTACAGTTGCAAGCTGTCTAGGCCTTTTTAATGCAGTGCAGTTCAGTAGGGTCAGAAAACTGTGGATCAAAGAGACAATGTTTTAAAGTATAAAGATGCTATTTCTATATGCACAAAGCAGATCTCTGTTGCATGCTTACTTTTCTGACTCTCTGTGAGCAGTAGACTAGGATGCAGTACACGTCTGGTATCATTGTAAAGTTTAGTAATATGCTATAAACTATGTTAATATATACTTGTTGTATGTTTTAAAAAGTCTTATTCTGGTTTGTAATTGTTCATCAGAAACAAGGTTTTCTTCCCGTTTTATGTCCTGCTTTTACATCCAGAGAAAAAAACCCCTCTATTCTATTGTATGTCAACCTTTTTTGTTGTTTTGTAAATATGTTTCAAAAAGAGAAGTTACTTGCAGATTTTATACTACGAACTGAATGTGCTTTTACTACCGTAGACAGTTTGAACATTTCTATGTTTAGAGTACCCCTAAGAAGAGTATATCTATAATGTTTGGCTGAATCTTTGGTAGCTTCGGTATCAGCAAACCTTGTATTTCCACTATTTATCCATCGTTTTCTACTACTCAGTGTCATGGCGAATATGCAGCACCTACTGTGCGTGAAACAGTTGAATGCCCTCTTGCCTTGGTCGTCTCAGGGCCGACTCCTTCTGTAACAAATTCAAAACAGCGCAACGGTACGAGGATTTCGGAGCCCTCTGTGGCTGAAACATGTCTTCTCTAACTTGTATAAATTGTGTGCATGTGTGAGGCGAGGCCTGATCTAAGCATGAGAAAGACCCCTGCATGAAAACGAGATCATGGAGCATGGAGTTTCCCCACCTTGTTGCACAGAATAAGACAAAACCAACAAGCATTGTGCGCTTCTCTTTTCCTCCCACCCAGTGTCATGTAGTCTGACAAAACAAGACGAATATGTGTAAATGCTTCTGTTGGCTTTTTGTTTACTGGTGCCAACCCTGAGTCCTTTTGTTCCCGGACATTTTTATTAGGCTAGGCACACAATGATACAACAGTAATGTATCATAAAACTGCCAAATTGACTCTTAACCCCTGAATTAGTTGCTGAACATGTAGACTGATGTCGCAGCTGTCACACCCGGACCAAAATGTAAGGTTAAGAGAAAAGTGAATGTTTACATGTCTCACATTGAGAATCTTTATCGGAGCAGAGGAAGAGGAAAACAAAAACAAACGTTTGGACCCACGGCAGAGATAATCACACGTCAGGGTAGAGTACCACTACAGTTAGAGCCACAGGGAACTTTCTATGTTTCCTTCCACTGCCCCTGCTTTTGTTAACCTGATTCTTTGTTCCTCTGTTTGTGGTATGATGGATACTGTGTATTAATAAAGTATGAAAAAGAGTAATCTGCTCTGTTTTATTTTGGATGTAGTTCTGCCTAAATCTTGTGGATTGATGTCTATATTATTGTTCTATAAAGATATTGAGGTTTTTAGTTAACATCCAATATTTTATATGTAATATTATTTCAGAGGAACAAGGTGTTATTGTTAATATTCTGGTAGTTATTTGTGAGGAAAAAAATCCCATTATTTCAACAATTTAGTGTGCAAAATGTCATATTTGATATCATGCATATTTCAACATGTGGACTACAGTTCATGTATGTGATCACACTGTCCAGAGCAAGAAATCATTTACATTACATTAGAATAAATACAGAATAAGTACCGTCTGCAGAGTGCATTGGTGTTAAATTACTATGAGGCATTAAGAGACTACACAGCCAATGTTTTTACTGAACTTAAATCATTTGTGAAATTAGCTAAATATTTAATGAAAATGCCACTGTGTCGTTTATATTATAAGGTTATGTAACTGTCTGTAGGTAAACAAAGGAATAGACATCGACTTTAAGAAACGTAAAAAAAATACACCAAATTTTAGAAAATAAAATCAACATTTTATTTCAATCTTACAAATGAATGACTTCTTGTTCAAAACACACAAAATGGAAATATGTCGACTAACTTATTACTAGCTTATTGACTTAAAATAATAATGATGTACAGGTCATGACACACATTTACTTGTGGTGCCAAAAATCAAGTAAATTAAGAAGTTTACATCATGACGGTCCCAAGTTATAAAAATACAAAATAAAAAGCTTTCCATACTGTATGTAACAATATGACAAAGTGTTGCCGTATTGTATTGATATACATCAGGCAGTTACACAGAAAACATCATCAGTCATTAGGAGTCTTGTTTGAGAGAATGTTTCAATATTCACTCATTTTAAGCTCCGTTTTGGTCTTCACCAACTCCTGAGAGAAACATCCGGCTCTTTAGTTGCTCATGCTCCAACTGGTCCTTTCATTTGTCCTTCTCCTTTGTGCGTCGGCTATTTATACGTTTTTTTTTGTGCTAAAGACCGCTGCCTTTTGGGGCTGAAAATGGTGCCATAAAAGCAGTGGGTGAACAAACATTAAAACTTTACAATGAGAAATATTCAACAATAATTCTCTGTAGGCTCAGAAGTGACTTGTTTTAGACTTTTTACACTGTAAAATTTAAAATACTAATGTAACCAAAACATTATGTTCACATGTAGTCCCCTCTTTACTCTTAACATGCCACATACAGTTTTCAAAGTTGAAAATCACTGTTTGATATCGCTCTGTTTATATATGCTAGTATGTCCTGAAAAAAAGGTAGTTCACCCCAAGATCACATTATTCATTTCAGAAATGCAGATTGTTTTGAGTTACAGTACAGTAGCTATTCGGAACAGAGGTGATATCAGAACTTCACCTCTCTCTAGTTTCACTTTTTGTATTAACTTTCCAGAGTTTCAACTTTTGTTCCTTCTTAAATCATTTCACAGAACTGGGAAGTAGAACCGTTTCACAGTTACAGTCAAACTGACTAATACTACATCTGAACGCTGCATGAAAAATGTCACAATCAGTTTATAATGATACACTTGAAAGTATACGCTAGCTCTATTAAAAAGAAATGTAGTACTACTACTCAGATGGCAGTAATAAAATAATTTGAAATAAAGAAATAAGCCCATTCAAACATCATGGAAGTAAATCTGAAGAAGCCTACCTAACTGAACAAATATCAAAAACACTTTTTCATTTACAAAATTGTATTCTATGTTTTAAACAGCAACTTTTGGGTCAGTCCTGGATGGTTCCTCTGGTCACAAACTCCAGAGTAGGGCTGAAACGAACTATTCCTCATTGTTGATGATCATGGTCTCGAAATGTCAGAAAATTGTTAAAAATGTTGCTCAGTGTTAACCAAAGCTCAAGATGACAATATAAGACATCTTGTTTTTACCAGAACTAAAATATATTCAGTTTACTGTCAAAGAGTAGTAAAAAAAAATACAAATATTTTCACATTTTAGAAGCTCAAATCAGGGAATATTCCATTTTTGATTATTTCATATTTGGTAACTAATCCCTGGCTTACATCCTGAATCAGGGATTTGTTTGTATTGTCCCGTGCTCGTTGGATGTCTTTGTGTTTCGCCCCACCTCCTATTCTACCGACTCTTCCCCATCAGAAGATGCATCACTTCCTTCTGAATGTTCGGTGAGGGTGGACTCGAGCTTGGCATCCCTTTGTCTGACTGAACATCTAGGGAGACCCCTCTTATGCGGGGTGCCAACATCACTTTTTGGACTACCTGGAGGACGACCCCTTTTTTTTGGGGTACCAACGTCACTTTTTGGAGTACCTGGGGGACGACCCCTTTTTTTGGGGGTGTCAACGTCCCTGCTTGGTGAGGACGAAGAGGCGGGTAAACTCTTGCGAGGCCTTCCAAGCTTCTTCTGTACTTTTGGCGCATTCAGCTCCTCAAGGGTGGGCAAAGGGTATTTTCGTGGCCTTCCCATTTTGGCTGGAACTTTTTGGGGCGGGCTACTCTCAGGCTGGACTTCCTCATCGAGCACCTTCTTTTTGAAACTGACTTTCGGTCGACCCATTGCCTTCTTAACTGGCGGTTCCTGTTCATCTCCGCTCTCCTGTACGATACTTTGTCTCGGCCTCCCCATCCCTCTTTTAGCCGTCTCTGGGGTTTCATTTGATGTGTTCTGTGTCGACCCCTCTGGTGTTACCACCTTCCTAGGTCGACCTTTCTTCCTTATTGGAGAGTATAGGCTTCCATCATCATCATCATCATCATCATCCTCCTCCTCTTCTTCCTCACTGCTCAACTCGAACCCCAGCGTCGGTCTCTCATTCTCTTCACTTGTTAAACATTCGAACTTGTGCTTCGTGGACCCTTTTGGACGACCCTTTGTTGGTATTTCAGAGTCTCCCTTCGGTGAGTTTTTGACATCCGCCGTCTCAGAATTCCTTGGCCTGCCTCTTTTCTTAGGAGATTGGACTGTCGGACTCGTAAGGCTGTCTTCATTACTGGCCGGTTCCTGGGAAACTTGAGTTTGAACAGAAATGTCAGCATGGACGTCTCCCGATTCTTCATGCTTTGTGAGTTTTGGACACCCTCTTTCCCGAGGGGACTGAGTTGTGCCATCACTTGCAATCCCTGAAACCAGCTTCATGATGTTAACATTGTCTGTAACACAAATCTTCAACTCATTGGAACCTTCTGGCATCCCCACTCCTATTTTAGTGGCACTGTTGTCAGACATGTGCACAGTGGAATCTCCCTCAATGCTCCCCAAATCTCTTTGTTGCGTGGCAGCTGTCGATTTTTCCTCTTCACTACTGTTGCTGTCAGCTTGGATTACTTCTGTAACTGCAAATTGAATATTGAAAAGCACAATTGGGGTTTATGTTTTGGTCCGGACTGATACAGATTATTAATAATAAAGGAGACCAAAAAACAATAGAAACAAAATTTAGAATAAAGCCAACTTCATCACACAACTTTGTTTAGAGGCATGTAATCATTTGTTAAAGGTGGGGTAGGTAATTTTGGAGGAACCAGCTCGAGTGTGCTAGAATTTGAAAATACACAGCCGGAAGAAATCTGCTACTTCCTTACAGAGCCCCTCCCCCAACACACACGAACGCGCACATGATCAATGAGGGCACGAGATAAGTTTGTGCACGAGATGGAAGGCTGACAGGCAGGTAGGCCATCCAGTTACTTTAGCCGGGCCGGCTAAAATGATTGGTCGTGCTTTTTACAGTACTACGGCTTCCACAGATGAAATTTGTATGGACTTGTTGTCAAAGCACTTAAGATATTCATTGCTGTTGGGATGTTAAGAGCATTCCATGGAATATAACAAAAAGTGTATCTTGAGCCGGTTTCTCAAACTTACCTAAACCACCTTTAAATATGATTATGAAATATATTTTTAGATCATTTTCTATTGTATAAAAGGAAGAATAAAAAGACGTCTCCTACCATGCTGACACTTTTCGCCTTCCTTACTCTGTGTTGAGTGCAACACACCCATTCTGCACTTTTAGACCTGACTGCATCCATTGAGAGGAGAGAGAGAGAGAACATGTAGTTAACATTTGGATAGATACAGGACTACAACATATTATGAGGGAAAAAGAACGATCTGGAAGTAGCAACATAAAAAAATGCTGCTAGGTGAAACTTAAAGGAATACTTCAACTACAAAAAGACCATTTGTATATAAATTACTCACCTTGAATTTTCGAATGAAACTTCTGACATGCCTCCACGGTAAACTAGGAGGAAGAAAAACAGAGAAAATTCTTGATGAATTTAAGTAAATGGGAAATCTACAAAGAGATACAAAACTGACACGCTAAGGAAACAAAACATCTCAACCCTTTTTTCAAATCTGTAAAAGAGAGGTTACTGGCCAAGCAAACTTGCTGTCATATTCTGGAGAATAGGTCATGTCATTGTTTGTCATACTGTCTGAGCATATGAGGTTTTATCTTTGCTTAAGTATGTGCTTATGTCTGCTGTGTGTTAATAGCTTTTAAAGAAGGGCTTTTGAAATGGGTACATGTGCTTTATATATGCCGCAAACGTTAGTCAATTGTGGTTTAACTCCTGCTAATGTTCTTTACCGGGGCTTATGTGCTGCCAAGTTTTTACTCTATGTGTATTTGCTCATCTATGTTTTCTTTCAATGCAATCAACATGCCAGGGACTCATACTTGTCAACCCTCCCAATTTTCGCGGGAGACTCTCGATTTCATTGCCCTCTCCCGGTTTCCTCCCGGGGTCATATTTCTCCCGCATTTCTCCCGATTTCTGACCAAATCAGATTTACTCAGGACTGTTTCCACTCGGACTTTAATACAGCTACACCATTGTTTGGTTTCCATGGTAACACGTCTCTTTAGTAGCGCACGCAACTCAAAGTCTGAGAGGGTGAGGCAGATAGTCACAGAAAACAGAACAAGAATCGACAACTACTCTACTCTCTTTTCACTCCTTTCCTGTAAAATACAGGTCCAGCCCACACATATGCTCCATCCAGGATGGTGCTACAGGCTGCAAGGCAGTGCACTTACAACTACAATAGTTGGCAAGTATGAATAAGTCTCTATGGTATGGCAAGTATGAATAAGTCTCTATGGCTAAATCTGGCACATTTACATGCTGGACATAAGTGCTCATGTTAAATAACGTACATTGTTCCTTCTTAAATCAATAAAAACAAAACTGTGAGCCAAACGTCTCACGCGAAAAACGAACCAAAATAAGTTACTAAGAGACTCGAATGACAACAAAACAACAGCAAAGAGACGCTTAACTACAAGTAAGTATAGAATAACTACAAATGGGCCAAACGACCACAGACAACAGACACAAGGCGACCACAATGAGTTGTCTCATTGTGGTCGCCTTGTGTCTGTTGTCTGTGGTCGTTTGGCCCATTTGTAGTTATTCTATACTTACTTGTAGTTAAGCGTCTCTTTGCTGTTGTTTTGNGGTAACATGACGATCGTGCCTCGCCCCCTCCTTTGCAGGGGGGCGTGGTCAGCTGCAGCTCATTTGCCACAGAATCAGCCCTTGCAAAAACAGGGCTGGAATACAGCAAATAGAGCGAAATGAGGCATGGCTAAAATGCATGATCTGTTTGGTATTTTGAAAAAAAAACTTCACAGACATGTTTTATATAGGTATGGCCCTACAATATATTATTCAAATATAGCATGATAGGTCCACTTTAAAGCACAGTTATAGCTGCTACAAGTTGTATCTTTTCAGGAAAGAAAACTGAATAAGCCTTGTGACCTCTTGTGATTCTTTAGCGACCTTTCAGTAACTTATGTGTGCCTCTGCTGTGGTGAGTGACCCCTCAGCAGGGTGAGGACAAGACATGGTCGTAGTCAGGGCATTTGAGGAGAGCCGGGTAGCTGGCGCTCATCTGGAGCGAAGCGTCACTCGAGATGTCGGAGGGACTTCGCCCGCGGGACCAGGCCTCCGGGTGGAGGAACTGGCCAGAGTGGTCGGAGCAGTTGCTGAGACGGGGGCGGTAGAAACCGGGGTGACGAGGCTGGTAGTGCTCCTCTGCTGAGTAGCGCTTCATGAACAGGTAGACGGACATGACGCCTGCACTCTGCAGGGGGTAGAGGGACACATTAGATTGAAACAAGGAAACAAATCAAACTAAAGGAAAAAAAGAATGTGCTCAGAAGTGCCTTCATGTTGAAACAATTCAGTTTGCAATAAAAACAAGTCCCCACAGCACCAAAATGTTGTTCCCAATGCCTTTCTCTTTATACATTCTCTAAGAATAGATAGCTGAACAACTGTGAGACGATAACTCCTGAATTAAAACAAATACAAAAATGGGGATACAAATTGCTGTCTGCACCTTAAACTGATTGTTTCCACTAATTTGTTTTTGAATGTTTCAGTTGGATGGTTTTAAAGTTATCACCCTAAACATTGTTATTTCTTTATCTTATATCAAATTAGTAATAAGTGGTAATTATTGATAGTAATATCAACCATAATGTTTGTTAGCCATTATTTTGTGTTGCAGTTCCCATCTTTGACCACTGCAGGGCAGCAAACCATCATGACTTAAGAAGGTGGTGGCCACTTTTAGAAGGTACAGATGCAACAGCACTTCAAAGACACATGTCTTTACGAGGCTCATATTGTCAGAAATGTGGACATTGAAGGAGGGAGGGTGGGTTTTTGCAACAACAAAGTCAAGGACATTTTTGAAAACGATCAGCAGTGCATTGAAACAGTTTTCATTTAAGTTACAACTAAAAAGGGTAGTACATTTGTAATGTTTTGGTGTATGTTTGTACACTGATGTAAGAGGCTCTTAGTTTCATATGTTGTACACTGTGTTCAAATATTGTAAGTTGTGCTTTGATCACAACGATACCCAACAGCTAAACATGTCAATGTGTCACTCACCTTAGTCAGCAGAAAAGAGATGGCAGCGAAGGCAAAGGACCAGCCGTACTTGTAGATAAAATAGGCCTCACTGCTCCTAATACTGTTCAGCATTTCATCATTTATGCTGGAGATGTAGAGCACCAGACCCACCACCAGAGCCAGACCTGACAGATTGATACATTAACATGTAGTGGTGGACAAAAACACAAAGGAGAGAGTGCAGAAATGTGACTAGAAATAGAGAGAAGATCTGAGTACCTGAGAGGATGAAGAAGATCCCAGAGACAAACGCCAGGATGGTGCGGTGAGGCCGGATGTGGCCGATGTTGTTGATGACGAAGCCGATGAACATGAAGAAGAGGCTGACCAGAGGGAACGGAGTGGCCGAGCGAATCATCTCTGAGGAGAGGAGGAAAACTGCTGTTTAAAACTAAAACATGCAACAGATGGGTGTTGAAGAGGAGAGGAACTTTGGGAATGTTTTGTTGATGTATCTTCATTTGGATAGAAAAGTGGTCTCTTTGGAGGAAGGGGGAACAGTCAATCTTGAAATATTTAGAAAAGAAACGTAATCATTGTCTGCTATTTGGCCAGATTTTTACAACATCAGAGATTACACTGATTTAAAGTGGACTATTCTTGAGGTAAAGCTTTGACACTGAGCCTCACTGAAGGACATCTGAGATGAATTGTCTGTAAAAATAAAAAAAGGTAGTAGGTATTCTGGAGAGGGACGAGGCTACAGGGTTCAGGTGACTCACAAGCCGTGTTAGAAAACAACACTTTTTTCTTATGAAAAGGCCAAACGCTGTTTATGTGTACAATCCCAGGGGGGCACCTTGAGTTATTTAGGCGGGAGTAACTTACTGAGCACGCTTCCTGTGGACTCTGACGTCAACTGGACATTCATGGGCATGATGTAGGCGATGGTGAAGCAGCGACCAGATTCCTCACCTAAGACAAAAACAAATAGACAAAATTGAGGTGAGAAAGAAAGGAGGAGAGAAACTGGGAAACAAAAAAAAAGGACAAAAACAGGCAGACAGAACCAAGAAGACCCCAGCTGCTGATGCAAGGAATGTTTAACTATTTTGAAACAACACTTTTATTTACTTCCTCTCTTCTTAGAGGATAGGTTTCATCCGACTCATATGTCCTGTACATGTATCATAGCCTGCATATAAAGGCATCATAATCCCCTATAAATCAACCTTGATTGTTTTCTTGTATTTTAAATAGACATATTCTTTACATAAGCATTACATCACATTCTGCCAAGACAGCTACACAGTCATTATTATCACTTCATCATTGTCACATACAGACTCCAGCCGGAAGTTATCTGTGGCACGATGAGATGAGATCATTCTCTGAAGACTTAAAGGTGTAAGTATGTGTCTGTGTGTGTGTGTTTTTGTTTGTATAATTATTCTGCAGGACTAATTTAAATTGAACGCACCTTGTTTTACACACACACACACACACACACACACACACACACACACACACACACACACACACACACACACACACACACACACACACACACACACACACACACACATGCATGAATGCTCACGCTGATGAAGTCATTGTGAATGTCATTCTGTGTGAATGTCAAAGCTGGCTGATGCAGTGATGATATGTGAGTGTGACAGGATTTTGACTCTGCCTCTGCCATATTTAAAAGCTGCGCAGTGTGAATGGACCTCCTTGAACCAAGATCTTACCACACTAAACTCCATTACATGTATCTGAGGAACAATACTGATTTAAAAACAAGGTTCACTGACAAAAGCCTGTCCTAAATCGTGGCAGTGCATTCCCCCAGACCCAACCCTCACCGGCCAGGAAGCAGACTCTCCAGAGGCCGGAGTGCAGCGAGGTCTTGATGACAATGCTCTGGTTCAGAGGCAGAATGACGCCCTCCTCCAGGTACAACCAGTAGTCGGTGCTGACCGCCACTCCCAGCAGCCCCAGGCCACTGATAGCAAACACACTGCTCAGCAGAGTCAGGGCCTTCCTGCTGCACGAGCTCATGGTGACAGTGAGGGAGCTTCCAGCTGTGGTGGTTACAATCAAAAAGCGATCTGGAGGAGGAGAAAAGGGAAAAGAAGAATTACTGGTAGAAATGTAAGAAAAGTTGGATGAGGAGACATGGGGAGAAAGAAGAATTAATGGCAGAAATGTTAGGAAAGTTGGATGTGGACACGGTCGAAAAAGGAAAAAACTCACACAATATATTATTAGATAAATACGAATGAATACAGACACACAACTAGTCATATTACCATGAAATTATGAAAGAGTGTTATATGCTTCAGGTTATTTCTATTAATTCCAGCAGTTTTTATTTAAAATATATATATATTCACATATGTCTCCAATGAAAAATAGTCTATACATTGTCTCTGACATTGGTGCATAATTTTCAACACCAGTTATACATTTGACACATTTCTTGCAATGATAAGCCAGTTTTTCCCCCAAGGGGGGACTTGAGAGTGTCATTGAAACCATTGAGCATAGTGTGAATGACAACACGTCAATGTCAACCCTATAATATCATGATCTACAGTGCAATAACCTATGGTGAGCCTCAATAAATTACTACTACTAAAGTACATGTTAGCTATAGTTAGTATAGTGTAGTAACCAGGACATTGTACACGACACACATGCAACAACTGAGATTAAAAGAACTCAAAACAAACATCATAGTTATCGGAGAATATGTGAAACCCATCAAATATAACAGCAAAGGTTACAAAAATAAAATCATGTGACTAAAGCATGCAAACATTTGTTCTTACGTGGCTGTCTGCAGTTTCGGTGTCTGTCACGCACGTGAAGGAAAGGTGCAGAAAGTTTTGTAGTAAAACTACGGGGAAATAGTTCAGTGGCGAGAAAACGACTCCAACTAATTCCTTCAGAGAAGTGAAGCCGAGAGAAGCTTTAAGAAGCAAGAGACGATGCAGCAGTGCGTCAGTGCTCAACACTGTCCACAGAACAGACTGAGTCAGAGAGAGAGAGTGGGAGATAGAGAGAGAGTGGGGGTTAGGGGGAGAGAGAGAGGGAGAGAGAGAGAGGGAGAGAGAGAGAACGTGTGGGGGTGAGGGAAAGAGGGAGAGAGAGAGAGAGAGAGAGAGAGAGAGAGAGAGAGAGAGAGAGAGAGAGAAAGAGAGAAAGAGAGAGATTAATGGCCTGATTGTTTTAAGGACCAAGGACAGCTCTTGCACAGGAAGTTCCATGAATGCATGAACAGATATAAACAGATACATAAACTGCATGTCCAAACCACACTACGTGAACAATAGATCAGTCAATGGCAGCTTTATGGCTACAATGCTAGGCTGCCATAATAGTTAACAGATAATATAATAAACTGTACACCAAGAGTACAGTAAAAAGAGCCAATTAAACTACACAAAAAAGATACACAAATAATGACTGTACAATGGATTTCTGGCATTTGCTTTTAATTCATAATATATTATTCTAAACAAGGGGTATATGCTTATGTATCTTATTTGTTCTAAAAAAATAGGTTGAAAAAAATATATTAACTCGTGGTTGAACATGTATTATTATTATTATATTATTATTATTATTGAGGTAGTGGTTTGTATTTCATCATGTGTCCTAGCTAGGAAGTGTCCAATTTGGCAAGTTTATTTTATAATGTTGCATTTCTTGCTTACCTGATGCTGAAAGCGGAAGCCAAATCTCCTGCAGCGCTTCAGTTTCCTTCAGAACCTCCTAAGCGTCACGGACGACCGGAAGTGGTGGTTTTAAAAATAAACAAGCATTACATTTCTTATTAAGTCCTTTATTCCGCAGGTCACGACTTATCTGGTTAATCTTTCAAATGAAACCTGAATCACCACGGGGGATTTCTTTAAGGTGAGGTATGTTTTATTGATTGTTTATTTTATCATTTGTCACACCCGCCATTCGATTTCGAAGATATACCTGGAAAGCCTTCTGCTCCAGATTAATGGCGATCGGTTGTTTAAAAAATTGAGCTTATTCTTAGGAACACAATTATTA